TACTTTTAAACCCACATTAAATACATAATATTTTTTAGTTAAAATTTTTGACAGGTAGATAAAGAGTGTATACGATAGACAGGCATAACTTATGTCACATAAGATAAGCAAATAAAAAAGGATTAGGTAAGAAAAATGGCTGTGTTTTTAATAAAAACTGTTTATCGAAAATATGCTTCTTTGCAAATTCGCTCATGCGTAAAAACTTATTTAAGTTCATGTGTAGGTAGTTATCGTTTGTTAACGGAATTATAATTATAAACAGAAAATATTTGGGTAATTATTATTTAAATATTTTTTTAAAATAATCCTATTATAGAATTACGAAAATGATCCTGCAAATAAAAAGGTATATAGAATAAGATTTTTTAAACTAAAATTAATTAAATATTTTCTGTTTCACTACACGGAGAAAAAAGTTTATTGCTCCCAAATAAAAAAAATATTTAAATATGGAACAAGGGTACAGTTTATTTATCCTAAATATATTTTTATTCCCGACATATAAAGTTTTACTAAAGTATATTTATCGGGTGACGTTCATAATATCGAAATTCACTTTATCGAATTCAAAATATCGAACACTTTTTATCGAAAATCAAAATATCGAAAATACAAAATGTCGAAAATCAAAATATCGAAAATTAAAATGTCGAAAATGATAATATCGAAATTTTATTTAATCGAATTTTCAATTTATCGAAAATAAAATATCGACGTTCATAATATCGAAATTCACTTTATCGAATTCAAAATATCGAACACTTTTTATCGAAAATCAAAATATCGAAAATACAAAATGTCGAAAATTAAAATGTCGAAAATGATAATATCGAAATTTTATTTAATCGAATTTTAATGTGAAACTAAACCATATTTTCTTATTTTGAATTTGATATTTTGTTTAAATATTTCAATTAATCGACATATTATTTTAATCCGAAGTGTATATGTATAGAGGCGCCTCTGATATAGAAATGTACTCAAACTCAACAACACAACCCAACCGACCCCGCCCCATTGGCCCCCCCCCCGCCCCATTGAGCAAAAAACCCAACTAAAATGGGCTAATTTATGTAATTAAAAAGTGTTTTATTTTTATCGTAACATGAATTTGCCCATTTTAGTTGGGTTTTTTGCTCAATGGGGCGGGGGGGGGGGGGCAATGGGGCGGGGTCGGTTGGGTTGTGTTGTTGAGTTTGAGTACATTTCTATAAAACGCGCATCTCTAGGAGCCAGGGAGCCAAGATAATTCGGTGCATAACCGTAACTTTATCTACAGAGGCGCCTCTGTACATATACACTTCGATTTTAATCATACATTTTAATTTTCGATATTTTTAAATCGATATTTTAATTTTCGAAATTTTAATTATTCGACATTTTCAAATCGACATTTTAATTTTCGATATTATCATTTTCGACATTTTCAAATCGACATTTTAATTTTCGATATTATCATTTTCGACATTTTCAAATCGACATTTTAATTTTCGATATTATCATTTTCGACATTTTAATTTTCGATATTTTGATTTTCGACATTTTGTATTTTCGATATTTTGATTTTCGATAAAAAGTGTTCGATATTTTGAATTCGATATAATGAATTTCGATATTGTGAACGTCACCCATATTTATCGTTATTATTTCGACTATTTAGAGGTAATAAACAATATATTCACTACAAATAAAAGTATTAGGTAAACAGTTTATTTGTCCCATTTTTTTCTCAGTGTACCAAAAATTGCAGATACAGCCTGTATCTGCAATTTTTGGTAGTAAAACAGAAAATATATAATTAATTTTGGTTGCCTCTTTATCCACCATGGTAATTCTATAAAGTTAATATTTTGTCGTATTGCATTTAATTTAATTTTTTAAAAATTGTTAAATTTTAACTATTTTTAACAAATAATGTTTGCATAACTTTCAAACCAAATAAACATAGAATTAAAATATAAGTTATATAACAAATAACATTGTTAATTTAGCAAATATTAACATTTGGAAAAGCGTTTAATAGATGGCGCTACAACCGCATTTTATTTCGTGCGCATGTTCAAAATCAACGAATTAAATAAATATTTTAAACAAAAAATACTTATAAGTATAAATACGTTTAGGTTTTTAGGATTTTTATTTTTTTTTAAGATGAAATATTTAAAAAATTAAATATTTCTTTAATTTATTGGTTTAAACTTTTAAAAGAGTGAGGTGAGCCTTGGGCCCCCTGACCGTCTGGGCCCCCCCGCGGTGCGGGGTCTGCGGGGGTGCTTATTACGCCACTGATCAAGTGGTGTTTTTAGGTTGTGATACCACTATAGATTCGAAAGCAATGTATAATCGTTAAACTAAAAGATCAAGATTTATTTCCAACATATATTTAATATAAGGGTAATTCTATAAAAACTATCATTTTTGCTGTTACTGGTCAAAATTTTGACTAAACAAATTATTTTCTACAATTGTTTTTTTTAAGAAAGATATAGATTAACTATATTAGCTTCCTAAAGAATATTTGAAAATATACTTATACATATTATACATATTGTATACAAAAATCTTGTTAAAATATCATTACTCTGGCATGTTATAACTGGAGACGTCTAACAAAGGCAGAATAAAAAAAAAACTATTCATATTCTTTAATTGTAACTTTTTTTTTTGATTTCAGAACTCTAAAATATCAGTAAAACTAAGCTAAAAATATATATTAATTTTAAACCACCTTGTTAAAAAAAATTTAAAACTTGTTACTACCTTTAGAGCTCATTCCTCTGGTTTGTGAATGATACCTAAATATATGATCCTAGATGGCGATAAGTCCGTGCACGCAACCAGAGATTCTTTTCCTAACCTAGTTCTTGCACTGAGCCAGCAAGCAAATATTTTCTGATAAAACAACACGTGATTTTTTAAAGTTTTGTTTTAAAATTAATTAATGTCACACACAGACAGGTCATTTCTCTGGTAAATGCATTATATTCTGTTTATTTATATTTTTGTTGCATCCATTATTTGATTTGAATACAAGATTATGGGTTTACTTTTCTGTAAACCAATTTGTATGTTAGGGTTTGTTGTATTTTCTTCCCCACGTGAAATAAACTATGGCACCATTCCTCTGGGATATTAAGACATTGTTACAAATTATCGTCTTACAAATTAGGAAAATTGTAAAAGGTGGCCGGCTACACATACCCAAAAGCAGTCTTCTAAAAAAAAAAAAAAATGAAAATGTTAAGAAAAAAAATGTAATTAAAATTTTTTTGGAATTCGATTTAAATAGTATTTTATGTCCTGGAAAAAAAGACTATTCTTCAAAAAATAGACTAATAAAGCAAAAAAGATATCTCAGTGATACTAATTTTGGGTAAAAATCTCATATGAAAAGGATGTTTCGTGCGTTAATTACCAATATACCTATGTAAACATACATGTAATAAATTTAAAAACTTAATTGACGAATTTGAATAAAATTAAAGTTCCTATAATAGAACATACAATACAGTAACATAAAAATAAAATAGTTACTTGAAAAACAAAAATATAAACCTGCTTTATTTCATTACCCATTTTCAATAAAGAAGGTTTATATTTTTGTTTTCAAGTAACTATTTAATTTTTATGATACTGTTTTGTTTTTAAACAAGTTTATATTTAAGTTTATTTTTAATTACTTATTTAGTTTTTATGTTATATTGTATTTCTTTACCTTTTTGAATAAAATAATAATTCCTCTGCTTGCCTCGTCATTCCTTTGGATATAGTTTTAACAAAAACATCGCAAATATGCTCAAAAAACTATTAAACTGTTTGATCTTTCATTTTGCAGGGTTTATTTTAAACAAAAGGTCGTATTTGCAAACTTAAAAAATGAAATTAGAACAAAAAAACTATTTTCAAATTACTTTATCACCCATAAGATAAATACTGTTGTTTTATTAAAACAAAATCAAAAATTAAAACCAGAAATATTTTTTTAATTAAAAAAAATAAAATTGTTATTTTCTTCAAATGTAATTTTTGCATTATGTAAAAACATAAAATATTTGAAGACAAAAAATGATTTATAACAAAATAGAGAATTAAAAATCTGTTTAGGTTAAAATAATAAGAATGGCTGTGTAAAAAAACTAATGTTACATATAATTATTATTATGACATGCTATTTCAAGTTTTAATAGTCTTATAGTATTTAATAGTATTTTTTGAGTAAGCAGAACTTTTGGTGATATTTTGTTAATATTAAGCGTTTTTTAAATCCAAAAACTAAACTGTTTATGATGGTTCGAAAGTTAAATTACAGTTTTGTATTACTTCTAATTCTTTAGGGTGTCATAAAAATCTGTTATACCTATAGTATACCTATTATAAATTAAAAGCATTTTTTAACAGGGTAGTTGTTGTTTTCTATTAGATACTTATTTACTTACAAAGAAAAACTAATTGTTTTTGAGACGTCTCGTGGTATCACGAATAAGATTTTATCGAAACTTCGAAAATACTTTCCTACGGGTTACGTGCACCAACATTTCCTTTCGTAATAAAATTCTTGAAATATCGTGAAACTTTTATTTTATTATTTTCTCCGCATGATTCAAAGTACCACGAAAACAACCGCAATTATTTTAATACCAATATCCAGTGAAACCTGCCCGTAATAATATTATCAAGTTAAGTTAAGTTAAGTACCGAACTTGACAGTTTTTTATTTGCAAATACAGAAGCGTGCCTTCTGACTGGAAACCCAATATTCCTCAAACATTAACTAAAACACAAAACTATCCTCCGACAACAGGTAAAACTCGAGGCAGAGAATCATCATCATAGTTAAAATGCAGGTAATTTAATAGGGTGTCGCATCTGTCAGTGTGACGGCTGTTTCTAGCAGGCGGCGTGTGGCAGCGCCGCTATTGGCCGGTGGCTCGTGTCCGCAGATGTTTTTACCCCCACCACTTCGCTTCGAACCGCATTTCAAGTCACTACGTTCCCCCGATTCGGCCAGTCGGTCTCCAGCAACCAAACGTGAACGTCGTCAGTTCGTTGTAAAAACCGTTTTTTACAATACGCGTCCAATCATAAGTTTGTTTAGTCAAGAATAATGTGTTTGTGAATCGTTCTCCAAAAGGATTTTATTGTGTTTTAATCTGTGTATTACTATACTATATGGGGATATCTGAAGAAAAGGCTTGCTATTGCAAAGCTGACAATCAACAACAGAAGAAGGAAGCTATTTTTTCGCCTCTGAAAAAGATGAAAGTACTCAAGAAAATCAAACGCCGCATAGGATTAGGTTAGTCTTTTAAACTATTTAACAGGGAAATCGATAAGCGACCCAAATAAAAATAGATTATTGATCAAGAAAGCCGTCTTAAGTTCGCCATCTAAAATAAATGTGCCAAATCATGATACACAGTTAATTTGTTAATATTTATCAATGATATTAGTATTCAACATAAAACTTAATAGTTAACAATTCATTCAAAAACATTTTGGTGCCTATAACGCAATAAAGGCGATTTTTGCCCGCCACCTATGACGTTACTTAAATGTTAACTACACAAACACGACTGCTCGATTCCCACGGTCTCACAGCTACCTCCGATGGGTTTTGAAATAGTATAACCAGAGATGCTCAGTTTACTTTCCCATGTGTTAAACTTAAGATAAACAAATTTACCTTTTAAAATTAACTCTTCACTCAAGGGTTATGCTTCTTGCTTTATGTAATGACGTCAAAAAACCGTTACAATCTCCCCTATTTTATTTGAAGCGGCTATTGTGTTTCCTATGCACGTGTGATATTAAACGAAATATCCATATACTTACCACTTACCTGTGGTAAGTATATGGAAATATCCTACTAAATTCCTCAACATTTTATCATCATGCAAAATTTATTACATCTTTAATGTGCGTTTAGTAAAAACTCATTGACTGTCGTATAAGTAATCTCAGCGTGAGGTCTAGTAATAAATAGTGTTTGTAATTTCCCTGCGGTATGTGGTATGGGGGATTTTATATCTAGCCGTCCTAGAAAAGCTTTAGCTAGACCAGATGCAGGCGTCTCACGAGACTTCTCCTAAGCACAACAGATGTGTAGGACCCTTAAAAATTATTTTCATTGTACCTCTTCAAAGAAAGTGCATCTAAATAATAAAAAAATATTGTACATTACTTAGTAATCATATATCCTGTTTATATTGATTCAAACATTTCCGAGAAAAGGTTAAGGTTGATTTCGACGCTAGAAAAACTGGTTCAACTGTTGTTACCTACATAGTTTGACCTTTAATTATCTCCACTATTATGTTCGGGTCGTCCTGCATTAAAAAACGTTCAAACGTGACTTAAAATCGTGCGTTATAATGCGTGAGAACCTGCCTGACGTAAAAACACAATTTCATGTGACCATTAATTGCAGATTTACCATGTTGCTCATTAAATTCTTAAGCCAAGTGAAATTCACAACAATAGCAGTAGAAATCTTACGGTAGCATTTCTTTCTAGTTGGCTGTGTTTCCGGAACGGCCGACCACCGGTTCTCCGGTCCGACGGTGCTTTGTTTCGCCATGGCACACCACTTAATTTACGTATGTGACGTACCGATTCAAGAAGACTTAATTGGGCGCATTCTTTCGCTCATCCTATTTTATTGGCGTCTATTAAAGCGACAATTGCAAAAAATGTTCTCACGGATGAAGCTTGTACCGTTGCTTTGGCAAATAACTGTTTTCCCTTCTTGTAACGTAAGGATTATTGTGGATTTATTAAGTGGGGTGCATTTAAACGCACATGTGCGATTTTGTGCGTCTCAGTCAAGTGTTATATTTCAATGGAAGTTTTCCCCTGTGGAATTTTCTTTCTGTGCACTTTGGAGAGTTTTCATTTCGTTCGATGGGGATTAGTTAAAGCGACGTTGTCATATTTTTCTCGTAAACATCATCCTAATTGGGCTGTAAATAATTCATGTAGTGAGCTTCACACGCATCGTACCGTACCATTACATTACGGTCTCATGAAATTCTCACTGTATCTTCGTAGTCGGAGAAAACGAGACCCCCCTCCCCCCCCGCGTCTCCACCTCGTCACTAGGTGAGCCGACAGTCGTGGGAACCTCTTGGAAACAAAGAAGAGATTTATCTCTTCTTATTATAAAGCAACGCGGAAATTTTTCCCGCATACGTTTCGTATTTTGCGCGGTTCAGACGTAATAATAGGGTTAAGTTATTTCCAAACAAAATTATGTTAATCAGGACCCATTTTAGCTTTTATCAAATAATATTTGGAAGATTAAAATTTAGCACTTTAATGATGTTTTTAAACTCAAAACAATTGATAGTCAAACATTTTTTTAAATATAAAATACAACTGTAAAACTTTAAGCTTAAAAATATTGATTTAAAAAAAAATTTGTTCAAATATTTTATCCTACAAAATTTTTAACTTTACATTTATATGTAATGGCGGGTTTATACAACTTCATATCATTAATTTATTTCATAATTCACAATTTAGTGCATAAGCATAAAAGTTAAATCGTAGTATGCTATCAAACCGTTTATACAACGATTTAATCTGTAACTCACAATTTAGTGTTTATTGAATAACATTGTAAGTTCATGAAGTTTTAACTTTTATGAAATAAATTATAAATAAGATTGAAGTTTTAAATTAAGCTAAGGGTCATTTCTCTGAACACAGAATAAAGAAGAAGAAGAAATAAGATTGAACAGCGCATGTGCCAACAATTTTTCTTTCCATTTTTTAAGGTTATAATTAATAATTATTGTGTTTTGTGTTTGTGCCTTAAAAAATACTACAAAATTCCCACTAAACATGAGTTTTAATGAGGAAGTTGTGTTATTTGTCATAGGTATATTATATCACGAGAACTATGAATTTAATCGGTTAAACTAGGCTTTATTATTATTTTGCATGAAACTATTTTTCAAAAAGAAAAATCAAATAAAAAACTTACTGAGCATAGTTTGACAGATTAAATTTATAGGTTGAGTGATATACGTTAGATTATTTCACGAATTAAAGGAAACTATTTGACAATTCATAAAATCTGACGTATGTGTCAAAATTTATAAATATTTTTTTAAAGAAAATTCCATTAATTTAAGGTATGTAATAAGTAATAATTGATATTTCGTAAACTAGATAACTTATTTTTTATTGTTTTTTAAAAAATGTTTGTTAAAACTTGTAAATAACACCATAAAATCGTAAACAAAAATCCAATATGTAGGCTAAAATTTAATCGCTGTTAAATAGTTCTAGTGATTTAATCGCTTATTTAATAGTTATTTATGCACGATGACATTATAATATGACAATTATAACAAAAATTCTTTGACGTAAACGTCTTTTTATAGCCCGCGGGCGTTATTATGGTCCAGCGGGCTAAAATGAAACGTCAAAAATTAAAAACAACAATGTTACACCATTTGATATATTCGAAGTAAGTTTTTTCGTATAAAGATTTTGATTTTACCGGCAGCAAGCCGCAATTTTTTGCCTTTTCAGCTGCTTCCTCAATTTCATTTATCTTTAAACTTTAAAACTGACTGATGTCAGTTGACATTATAATATGACAATTATAACAAAAATTCTTTGACGTAAACGTCTTTAAAAACAATAATATATTAAAAATAATAATATATTAATCGTGCATAAAGTTTTGTATGCATTGCTGGCATAACTGGTTTTTATGGTCCTACGACGCTTTTCTAGCCCTCGCGCTAACGCGCTCGGGCTCGAAATAGCGCCTCGGACCATAAAAACCTTATTATGCCCTTAATACATAAATAACTATTATGTATTAAGGGCATAATAAGGTTTTTATGGTCCGAGGCGCTATTTCGAGCCCGAGCGCGTCAGCGCGAGGGCTAGAAAAGCGTCGTAGGACCATAAAAACCAGTTATGCCAGCAATGCATACAAAACTTTATGCACGATTAATATATTATTATTTTTAATATATTATTGTTTTTAAAGACGTTTACGTCAAAGAATTTTTGTTATAATTGTCATATTATAATGTCAACTGACATCAGTCAGTTTTAAAGTTTAAAGATGAATGAAATTGAGGAAGCAGCTGAAAAGGCGAAAAATTGCGGCCTGCTGCCGGAAAAAATCAAAATCTTTATACGAAAAAACACTTCGAATATATCAAATGGTGTAACATTGTTGTTTTTAATTTTTGACGTTTCATTATAGCCCGCTGGGTCATAATAACGCCCGCGGGCTATAAAAAGACGTTTACGTCAAAGAATTTTTGTTATAATTGTCATATTATAATGTCATCGTGCATAAACGAAATTTATTCGAAAATTCAAGGCTTTTAATTGGTTCATATTATAATGAGGGAAATAATCACTTTTAATTATCAATATTGTCATTTATACTTAAGAAATTATTTTTATAAAAAAATGATGAAATTTTTGCAAAAATTGTTTGGAAATAATATTGTTTAATACAGAAGATTTTCTTATAAAAGAACATCGTTTTAAAACCTTATTTTTTCTTGCTTTGCATAACCGTCTCTCCAGAACAGTATTAATTACATTTTACGTATCTGCGTGCATCTAATTGTTAGTTTCTCTTCCGTCTTAGTACAATACACTTCAAGTCTGAAGTAATTTGATCACTTTAGGATTTAAGGTGTATGCACGCAGCACGTGACGTTATATCCTGTTTTGCCGGATATAAGGTGGAAGATTTTGTACATTTCTCCCCCTTAGCTAAGAGAGCAAAAAACAATCACATGTAAATGACTGGAGATAAAGAAATCCCCGTACAAAGGGTCGCTTACCTGGCTTTTCAAACAGGGGTGCTTCGAAAACAGCTGTTGCTCCCCTAACATATTGCAGATATGTGAATGCACCTGGTTGGTTTTTAACGTTTTGCAGATTTTCATGCATCTGTTTCTTTGCAGCATGTCGGTCTTCTTCTAACGGAGGCGGCACCAACAACCTACCACCATTGCTTTTCCACAACGTTCATGGGGAAAACATCAGGATTTCCAGGGACGGCACTGTCGCTAGCAGGGTGGAAAGCTTCTGCAAAGGAATTGCCTTTAGCTCGCGCCCCATCAAGGTCAATGAAAAAGTAAGTAACTAAGCTCAAGGTTTTTGAGCGAAGCACAAAAAGGCACTTCTTGGCCGAATGGCATACAACATTGTATCTTCAAAGCACTTTAATAATTTAATTCAACATCAAAGCGGCCTAACCTCACTTTTTTAGAATCTCATTTATTTATTAGCTAAAGATTAGGTACATTAAATGTACAATAATTATTATTCCTTTTAGAAGCAGTAATAGTTTGACAATACCTAGCTACATGATTTAAGTAGAAATGGATTTTTGCTATTACATTGAATTCAATTAATTGTTTAATAAATAGGTAGGTATCTAATTTCAATTGTGTTAAATTTAATTTCACTGAAAACTTAAAGCAAATTAAAACTTAAAGATAATTTAAATCGTAGAAAAAGAATCGTGCGTTTTCTTGGTTGCCTAACCTCACTTTTTGTTTTATTATTCATATTTAATTTTACAATAATTTAATGAAAAATATTAAACATTAACAGTAAAACAAACAAATTAGTGCTTATTATAAATAAATTAAACCAGTTTAGTACGTTAATTTCTTAGAAAAGGATTAATTTGACTAAACAATACCCCTAGCGAGAAAAAATCGAACTAATTACTTGCCTCATATTTATTTGGGCAGAATTTCGTAAATCTGAAATAAATATTTAATAAAATTATTTAGATTAAATTGGTAAAGTTACATTTTTTAGTATTTAAAAATAGGGTAGACATTTAAATTAAAAACACATTTTCTACCAAAATAGTTTATAAGTTTTTTTTTAACTCAAAACAGTTGATAATTAAAAAATATTTTAAATATAAAATGCAAATGTAAAAGTTTGTAAATTATTGGTTTAAATTTGTAAAGAGTCATTTAAATGATAGTCAATACATTTTTAATACAAAAACTCTCACATTACATTTAAATGTAAAGTTATAAATTTTGTGTTAAAATGTATCAATTTAAAATTGACTGCCTAAAATCACGAAATAATTTGTTAAACATTAACAAAATTATCTGTAACCTTTGAAATTAACAAAATGCATATTACCGTTATAAAACTTTCGGTAAAATACTTACAAAATAAAACTAACAAATGATTTTTGTAACAGTGATTTCTTCCTTCCAGGTTTGCATCAAGTTCTTGGAGATATCCAACAACTGGAGCGGGGTGATCCGCTTCGGATTCACCTACAACGACCCAACTAGTTTAAGATGCGGCCTGCCAAAATACGCGTGCCCCGATCTGACCAACAAGCCCGGGTACTGGGCCAAAGCCTTGCCGGAAAGATTCTGCAGTCAAGGTACGGTACTTTTCTACTACGTCACCTCCACCGGTGACGTGCACTTCGGCATCAACGGGGAGGAAAAGGGGATCTTCTTCAACAACGTCGAAACCCGCGGGCCTCTGTGGGCCTTAATAGACGTCTACGGAAACTCCACCGCCATTGAGTTCGTAGATGTTAGGCACCAGTTGAATAATTCTAGGTGTAACATCGCTGGGGGGCAGTGTGAGACCCCCAGGGGGGATGTCGAGAGGGTTGTCTACCCCATGCAGCAGTTGTCGATTCAGCAGCAGCAAAACGAAGAGTTGTCGTTACCTTTGTTGCGGTATCAGTCGAGTACTTTGAACTTCAACGCGATGAGTCTGCATAGAACCAGAGGTCGCAATGTTAGGTTTCTGAACAGCAGTAGAAGCGTGGCGTATAGAACCGATACGGAGTTCTGTCAAGGTTATGTTTTCACTGGTAGACCTCTACAGTTAGGGGAAAGAGTTGTGGTGCAAATTTTGGCTACGGATCAGATGTTCCAAGGTTGTCTAGGTTTGGGTTTGACTTCATGCGATCCTTCGACATTACAATCTAGTGATCTCCCCGATGATTCTAACTTCTTATTGGACAGGCCGGAGTACTGGGTAATCAGCAGGGATATCGCGCGAAATTTGAACAAAGGCGACGAAATCAGCTTCTGCATATCGCATAGCGGAGAAGTGCAAATTAGTAGGAACGGTGGGGCTCCTCTCGTAGTAATCCACGTGGATCAGACTTTACGGTTGTGGGCGTTCTTCGACGTGTACGGTTCCACCCAAAAAATCCGCGTTTTGAGCTGCCCCAGCCCCATGTCGCCCGTCAGACAGCAAGAGAGGAGAATAATCTCTCCAACATCCGCCACTGAGTCTATGAACTCGTTAAACCAACAATCGGAGTTGAGGCGCAACTCCGTCTTGCAGTCGAACTCCAGGATGTGCTGCGTGGCCCCTGCGGACATCCAGGTGCAACCGCAGGCCAACGGTGGGGCTGTGCTGTCGGTTATACTGCCCCCCACGCACGCCAACTTGATCAACCAGCAGCAGGTTCAGCATCATGGGCTCCACGCCAGGGAAAACCAAGCAAACAGCCATCCGGTGGTTTCCTATACAGCCCCGCATGCAGTCCACACGCCTTCGCCGTTGTCGCCCTTGGGGGGGAATATTATGGCGCCCGTACCGTCATCGTCCGCAGCCAATGGCAACTCGACGATGGTGTCGACGTGTAGCAGCACGTATGTCGAGGTAAGGATCAGTCAATATTTTCTTTCCTCCTTTCATATTCCTTGCGAAATGGATGTAGAAAAATATACATTTTCAATAATTTTGGGTTCTTACATTTTACAAGAGTTAACAATTTTTTATTTTTGTTTTTTCGAGGAAAACTCATTCTAGATAAAAATTCTAATCGTCGAAAACATTGACATAGAAAATTGGGGATTTTATGTACAAGGTGTTCAAAAATTACGAAAACGTGAAATCAACTCAAGAGTTTGTATTTTTTATTTTTGTTTTTTTGAAGACAAGTCATTCTTGATAAAATGTTTAAATTGTCAAAAAAATAACGTTCGCACACTCGGTAAAATTTGGGATTTTAACTGCAGGGTGTTTAAAATTTTAAACATACTGTAGTTAAATCCCAAATTTTACTATAAAATACGTTGATTTTATTTTTTTGACAATCAAAACATTTTATCAATGCCTTTCCTACGAAAAATTAAAAATAAAAATATAAAAACTCATTTTTTAATTTTTTGTAATTAAAAACAAAAATTAATACGGAAATTTAAAAAAAAGTCATAATTGACAAAATGTTTAGATTGCCAAAAAAATAATATTCGCGTACTTGGCAAAACTTGGATTTTAACTACAGAATGTTAAAAAGTTGGGAAAACAAAATCTAATAACTTAATGTAGTTAAATCCCAAATTTTACTTTTATTTTATTTTATTTTTCAAAACTCAATTCTGGAAAAAACAAAAAAAACTTTTTCTTATAAACATTTTCAGAAACTTTTTAAATAAAGGTACCTACCTGATTTCCGAATTTTTGAAAGTAAAATCTAAAAATTTTGTATGTCTATGTTATTTTTTTAACCATAGGTACATGTGTGTATTGCATTTATTCTCGTATTTTTTTTAAACGGAAATGCTTGTGATTTTTTAAAGTCTCGTGATGTTTTGAACGGAAAAATTTGCAGAAAAATTGAATTTTGCATTATCCGTAAAATGCTTGATATCCGTAATACGGATATTACGAATAATACGAAAAAAATGTAAAATTCAATTTTTATGCTAATTTTTTAATTTTCTGTTTAAAATGCCTGGAAAAAACTGAAAAAATCCCTATTATTTGTTTTTCGCAAATGTATATATTTTTAAAGTTACGAAAAAAAATATTTTATTTAAAAAAAAATTCACAAGCATTTTAAACTAAAAAATTTGCATTATCCATAATAAAGGGATTACGGATAATACGGATTAATTAATATTCAGTTTTTCTGCAATTTTTTCAATTTTCCATTTTAAATGCTTGTGATGTTTTTGTTTTTGCGGGAGAAAAATAGTTTATTTTCGAGAATTTAAAAAATTGAAAAATTTGCAGAAACATTATATTGTGCATTATTCGTATTACAGTTATTACGGATACTACGGATAAATTGCAAAATTCAATTTTTTCTTCAAAATGTTTTAAATTGCGAACATTTTTTAAAAAATGTTATGAACCAAGTAAAAATAAAAAACTAATAATGCTCCTTTTATTAAAATTTGTTTATTTCTAAAATCAAAATTTTTTTTTTTTCGAAATCGGCAGTAAAGTAGAACTTTACTGCCGATTTAATACGAGTATTGTATGCAACCCATTATACATTTTAAGATGTGTCTACTGCTCCTCAGCAGCAACTAAATAATATTTAAAAAAAACACCGTCGCGGAGGTCGATTGGACCCTTTCATAAATTGTTGTTTAATAAAAATATAAGTTAATTTTATTAATTAAAAAATTAAAAACCGTCGCAACAAACAGTATACGTAGACACTATTATTATTAAATGTGATTTCGGATCAAATTTAATATGCACCTCGGCATTAAAGTCATTTTTTATCACTCACATGGTTATTTGCCTCGGCTTTGGCCTCGGCAAATAATTTATATACTACGGATAAATATCAAAATTCAATGTTTCTGCAAATTTTTTAATTTTCCCTTCAAAACGCTTGTAATGTTTTAATTTGCGAAAAAATTAAATTTTAAAAAATATTATGAACCAAGTAAAAATAAAAAATGCTCCTTCTATTAAAATTTGTTTATTTTTAAAATTACCAATAAACATTATTTTCCCAAAAAACGAAAAAAAAAACAGGTTTTCTCCCCAATTTTTTAGTTTTTTAAACGCAAAATCTAACAAACTTTTTTTTTATTTGCAGCCCGTATCGGACTCAAGTTCCTACTCGACGCCCCTGGGCTGGGACGCCCACAACGGCGCTACCCTGGGCGCGGGCGCAGAATGCACCATCTGCTACGAAAACTCCATCGACGCCGTCCTGTACATGTGCGGCCACATGTGCATGTGCTACGAGTGCGCGTTGCAGCAGTGGCGCGGCAAAGGGGGCGGCCACTGCCCCCTGTGCCGGGCCGTCATCAAAGACGTCATCCGCATCTACAAGTCGTGAGCTAGTTAGTTCGGACGATAAGAGAGTTACGTGCTTCCACGCCAGTGATTAAAGACTGATTGTTGATCGGATTGTTAGTTAATATTAAAAGTTTAGTTATTTTTATTACCTACCTTAGATGTTAAAACCAAAGACGCCGCTGACGCGCCCTCTACCGGCGCGCGGCGGCATTTTTCGTCAACAGACAAGTTAGTCATATCTGTTGCTGTCCGCCTTCATGTAAATTACATGGCGGACTTAGTCAGCTGTTTCGCGCAGTTTAAACTTATTTATTTTTTTATTATTATTATTACTACTTTTATTTAATATTCGGCGGTTTTTGTTCGCTTCGCGCCGCCGCGAAGCCGAATGAAAAGTTTTAAATCAAAATTCGTTTTCCTAGATTTAATAAATTAAATTTTTCGAAAGCAACTTCATAATTATTATTATTATTATTATTAGTCGGGCATTTGGATTCTATTGTATACATTCCTAATACGTTCGTGGCCAGTCATTACTTTTCAGTCCATCGGTCCATTCTAAATGTCGCCATGTTTAATGGTCAATTCCGAAACCGTAAAACGCGATTATTTCGAATTGTTACCTAAAAATGGCAAAATGTTTTGTAAAATAGAACTTCTAGTCATAAGAATGTACTGATTTAGTTTAAATATTATTAGTTTCATATAAATTAATAAAATGTTATCTATTACCATTTACGTGAGCCTTTTATTTTTCAACCCAGTAAAAAAACTGTAACAAGACAAGCTAAAATAATGACAGGCTAAACTTTAGCCGTTAAAGAGACAAGTCAACAAGAGGTGAGTAATTTTACGACAATATTATCTTTGCTTACAAATGCTTAATTCTTCGTTGACAGTTCGATTATCAAACTGGAAAAGTGGAAAGTAATTGGTAAGCAAAATAAGACACTGGACACATGGACCATAGTTATTGGACATACAATTTTTATAAAAACATAACAACTTTACATCAAATAACATAAATTGTTAAATAAATTGCTGTTTTAGGTAATTTTGTTTATTTCGTTTTTATAAATATCATATATTGTAATTCATATATTTCTTCCTCGGATTCCTCATCCCTTTTCTGGATTCTGAAGGTATTCCTTGGTCTGACTTCTGAAATAGTTTGTTGCAAATATCATCAAGTGTGGTATCTCTAGTTTGTGAAGCATTTATTATGTTAAGGCCGGAACAGGATGATTTATAAATATCTTATATTTTTTCGGGTGGTATGTTAAAAGTATTTTCCGAATTTATTAATTTTGTTGCCATTAGTTTTTTATGTTCTCTATCATGCACTGTATTTAAATTAATGTTATTCTGCAAGATGTCCTTTGACGAAGAAATCACTATTTTACTTACCTACTCTCTAAAAATGAATTAGTCAAAGATGTCATAGCGAAAAAGCAGCCCATAGAAAAACCATGAAGCAGCCTCTAATAATTCTCGTCAACAACAATTTGTATCCAGGACATTTAGCAGTCAATTCCTATGAAACATTATTCGTTGAATCCGAAAATGTCGTCAACGAATAATGTTTCATAGGAATTGACTGCTAATGTATTATTATTAGTATTATATATTATATGTATACATATAATATGGAATTGACTAGTATCTCAAAAACTGCTTAACTTTTATATTTTTTGACGGTCTTTTTTTGTAGAAAACTTACCTAGTCTAAATATTGTCTATAATTTTCGTCGTCAAAATTTAAGCAAACATTTTTTTATTCTATAAATATTTTAGAAATAGGTATTTAGGTATATATTATCATACATATATTATAATGACCATATAATATGGTCCATATTTGCTTTTGATGTCAAAATAATTTTAGCACTTTTTAAAATTGGCATTTAAAATTTTATGCTGTCAACTTAAGAAACACAAAAATATGATAGTTTTAAATTCTAATTTTGCCATTATAACAACAAATTAACAGTTTATTTTGTTACTTATTTAGTTTTTACATTGTTTTTAGTTGTTAATGATACTTTAATTTATAAAAAAGTTTTAATTAGTTAATTAAAATACAACGTTTTATTTTTACCACATTGGCACCGCTGAATTTGCTGTCACGGCCTACTGTTTTTATCTATAACTTTTGAAATTTTGACAATTTTAAATTTTGATGACTTTAATCATGGAGCCTACACAAGGAGCCCGAACTCAATAGGGAAAATTGACAAAACCTGCACAAATTAAGTCTTTTTTTTTTCACCACCAGCGGCGCTGAATGTTCGGACTCCTTGTGTAGGTTCCATGAATATCTCTTAAAATATTATTTTTTGAGATTTGACTTATATGACTTGTAATTACAAAAAATGTATTTACTTTTTTTCAAAAATTTTGAATTATAATTTACTGCTAAATTAAACTATGCTTGAATGGATTAATAAAAAAAAAGTTAAAAAAACTAAAATGTGAATAAAAACAAAACAAAAAAACAACGTACACGCAATAGGATTCAAAAAAATATATGAGTAGTTCATTTCACCGCACTTTTTTATTGAAATTGGAACGTTTCAACACCTGTTTTTATCACAAATTTTGCATACTTTTTGGTGAACAAAAATGGATATTGTTGAATATTTTGTAAATTTTGAAAAATTTTGGAAATTTTGAAATTTTAAACATTAATTTTCTAAAACAGCCAACTTCATGAATGAAGTTGAATACTTGATACGCGTTTTAAAATATACAGGGTATAATCAAAAAGTATCTAACAATGACAGTTTTAGTATGATGTCAAAAATGCGTTTGACGTCTGTTTTGAAACCATCACCAATTTTGAAACAATTCCAAAGACACGCGCACAAATGGTACCCGGATGCGGAGTTTTTTGCGCAGTTCGAAGGGCCTGTAATGTACCCGGACCAGAATACATCGAAATGGAAGATCCCGCCTTACAATCCTAAAATCCCGCCCAGAGAAATGCTAGTGAAAAATACGGAGATAAACTTTGGTCCTGCGCATCCAGCCGCGCACGGGTGCTTGAGGCTCATCTGCCATCTAGAAGGAGAAGTAAATATAGTCTTTTAACCATAGAAATATTACTCGTATCCCCCAAGTAAAAATGATTATTTTTTATTTTTCTTATGGTCACAGACTGTAACCGTAACTTTCTTTACTGTTACCTTCTTTATAGTGAGCTTATGTTCTGTCATAGAACTTCTGTGTAGTGAGTGTCACTCAGTGAAACACAGTTTATTGCATATAAATAATTTATTGTGGGTATGTTCTGTGTTTGGGTATGCGGCTAAACAAAATTATAAACTAAACTTGAACTTTTAATGTTTTTTTTTAACCTAAAATGCGGTTTTTTAACCTAAAATGCTTTTTTAGTACCTTTTTAGTTACCTATTTTTCAGTTTTTAGTACCTAAATATCCCATCTTTAGTAATAACAAAACATAAGTGGTTCTGCACTAATGCAAGAGTTTTAAGAATATTAGAGCTTCACGGAAGATAGCTTCACGGAGGTTAGGATTTCGTATGTTTTTTTAAACATCCCTTTGTATATTTGAAATAAGTTATTGTATCTTTTGACACCTTAATATTTAAAAAAATACAATTGTACATACATAAAATATCTATAAAAAAATCTACTTACTGAGATATTACACTTCACGGTGGATAGGTTTTTAAATGGCAAATTAATGAACTTAAACTTTTGAATTATAAAACTGCAACACTCTCATCTGCATATAAATTCTAACTGACCTTCAGGAATCACATGCATCTATAATGTCGTAAACAGAGGTTTTTGCTTATTTAAAATGATTAAAGCGCCATCCGTTGCATAAAATTTAAAGCAAAAACAGATTCACGGAGGATAGAATCAATTTTTGTAACACCTACATAAATGGTTATAAAAATTATTTCTTTTAGTTTTTAATAATATTTTATATTTGATTCGAATGCTTTGGATGTGTTTAATTTACTTAGTGAACTGATATTTTTAGTATCCTTTTACTACCTCAGATATTTGAAAACATATAGGTTAATCTAGAAAGAGTAACAATCACGGAGGATAGGTTTTAGACTTTTAAAACATTGTAAAAAATAATTAATTGCGGTTCAAAATCTGGAACCTGAGCTGTAATATCTACTTCGGTTTTTTCAGGGTACTGATTTTTACATGAATTACAAAATTCCAAAGTTAAAAGATCAAATTGTAAAACTATACTAATTTTAAGGCATGATTGTAAGAAAACGGTTCATCTGACGGGAAATTCCAATCAAACCTTTTTTGTAGAGCATTCAATTTTCTTCAAAAAATATTCTTAAGTCAATTTTGTTAAACTCAATGATTTGGTAGTTATGAGACAAAAACTCGCTCAGGAAAAAAAATCTAAAATTGCGATGATAGACTTCTTAATATTAATATATACTTTCACCATAATTTTTTTTTGTCACCCCAAACAATATTTTCGATGATATACTTTAACTAAAATCCTGGTAAACATTTTAGCATGTCGTTAGACTCGACCCCCACATTGGCCTTTTACACAGGGGCACCGAAAAGCTGTTTGAATACAAAACGTACGGTCAAGCTTTACCGTATTTCGACCGTATGGACTACATTTCTACTTTAGCGAACGAACATCCGTACTGCCTGGCCGTTGAAAAATTACTGAACATTGAAGTACCGCGAAGGGCCAAGTTCCTAAGAACCATGTTCGCGGAAATCACGAGGATTCAGAACCATATGGCTTCTTGCGCTTTTTTGTGCTTAGGTAAGTAAATTTGGTTTTAGTTTTTTTTGTATTAAATAATAGTATATTCTGTAACAAGTTTGGAATACAGCATATTCCGCTCGAGTGAAGAGTTTGTCACACGAGCCGAAGGCCAGTTTGACGGTTTCACGAGAGCGGAATATGCAATTTCAAACGTGTTTCAGACTGTACTTTTTCTACGTTTCCAAAAAATACCATAGAAAAATAATTTAATTGTAAGAAAGTGAGGTTGGATCGGTCTAAAATTTGTTATAACAATTTTTTTTTTTTTTAATATCTATAGATATTAAAAACAGAGTCGCCACGAGTGTTTATTCTGTCATCAGATGATATTTCATTCTGTAACACTTTATATATATGTCATTCCATAGATAAAAGTGATATTAGAAGGGTCAAATTTTGTAATAGGAGTAGAAAAAATGTTTTATTTTAGATGTTGGTGCTATAACTCCGCTGTTTTGGTTGTTTGAAGAAAGGGAAAAATTGTACGAAATTTGCGAGAGAGCGTGTGGTTCTAGAATGCATTGCGCGTACTTTAGAGTAGGCGGTGTAAGCCAGGTAAAAAAAATAACCATAGGGCCTTTCAATCTTCAATCGACCAGGCAACAAGGGGTATACCCTATTTAGACCAGTGCAGAAGCCTTTAAAAATGGTAAAAAGAGAAAAAAAATAACAGTAGGATGAAACCCATTGGAAAAGGAGGGGAATATAATAAAAATTAAAGGAAAAATAAATTACGGGCGATCTGAGTTCGGGAAGTGGGAGGGGGGGTTTTAAGGGTAAAAAATGGTTTATCTCGATTTCCGACAAAACTACAAGTCCTATGGAAAAAAGTTAAATGACAAAGTTGTAGGTAATAAAAAGATCTACAACTTTTGTATTTACAATTTTTTCACATAACCTCAAAATTTATGTGAAAAATTCAAAAAACCAAGTTTTTGGTTTTTTATTTTTATCTTTTTCAAAAAAAATTTTTTTCCACGAAATTTGGTGAAAACTTACCTTTTTATGTCCCAAATACACTGTAATTTATTTGATTTGAAATATTTATTATTTCGCCTTATTTTGACTTAATATCAAAAAAGCACCCTAATTTTCAATCGAAAATTCTCGCGTCAAAATATCAGCTTTTTTCAAAAAGTCGGTGTGCTTTTTGTTCGATGAATTCTCTACTTTCTGATGGTGTAAAAAAAATATACATTACTATGGTAAATGTTCTCAGAAAATACAAAAAATATTATAATGAATAACGTAATCAGAATGAAGTATCTAAATTCAATAGTATGATTTACATGTATTTTTATATTTTATGAGATTTTCTGACATAAATGTTATTAGAATTTAATAAATAAACTTTTTAACTAAAAAAAATTGCAACAATCACATTTTTTTGATGAAATTGTACATAATGATTAAAATAAATTTTCGAATTCGAGTTTTTTTTCGTTATTCATTATAATATTTTTTGCATTTTCTGAGAACATTTACCATAGTAATGTATATATTTTTTACACCATCAGAAAGTAGAGATTTCAACGAACAAAAAGCACACCGACCTTTTGAAAAAAGCTGATATTTTGACGCGAGAATTTTCGATTGAAAATTAGGGTGCTTTTTTGATATTAAGTCAAAATAAGGCGAAATAATAAATATTTCAAATCAAATAAATTACAGTGTATTTGGGAAATAAAAAGGTAAGTTTTCGCCAAATTTCGTGGAAAAATTTTTTTTTTTGAAAAAGATAAAAATAAAAAACCAAAAACTTGGTTTTTTGAATTTTTTACATAAATTTTGAGGTTATGTAAAAAAATTGTAATTACAAAAGTTGTAGATCCTTTTATTACCTACAACTTTGCCATTTAACTTTTTTCCATAGGACTTGTAGTTTTGCCGGAAATCGAGATAAACCATTTTTTACCCTTAAAACCCCCCCCCCCCTCCCACTTCCCGAAGTCAGATCGCCCGTAATTTATTTTTCCTTTCATTTTTATTATATTCTTCTCCTTTTCCAATGGGTTTCATCCTACTGTTATTTTTTTTGGTTTCAAAAATTATCGACCCTGGTCTAATTATAGGTCGTTATTTTTCAACGAATTTTTTTTACCATTTCATCAATTTTTCTCTTTTTACGAGACATTTTTTCTTGAAAATGCGTTAACTTGGCCAAAAATGTTTCGATCGTTTTTTTTTTAATTTTAGGTAGGTAAATGTTTAATACATACAAAACATATAAAAAATTAAATGAATTCAATCATTTTTTTCAGTTGTTTTTTCTAAAAAAGGCAAAAAAATTGAGGCCAAAATTTTGACATTGCCACATTTTTTTTTACTCCATATACACTAAAGAAGTATCGGGTTTTCGCAACGCGCGCGCCATCTGGTGGATTTCGATAGCATTGCGTGAATTTAAGAATTGTCAAATACTTTTAAAGCAGTAGTCTTACTCGACAAATTTCATTCAATTGCACAGCTAAATCGAGCACGGTATTTGTGTTTTACGTTGCAAGGAAAAAACTAAAAAACTGGTTTAGTACTCGATTTCGATTGATTATTCCTTATATCATTGATTAAGAAACTCAACGCTTAAATGCTTATATAGTTACGTAAGTGTATTTTATCTAAGGGATCATGGTGAATTATTGTGTTTTTAATTGTAAATAAAATTCAAGAACTAAATCGTGGCATTTTCATGTTTTGCCAAAGGATCCCATTCGGTAAGAACATTTGTTGGTGCAGAATTAACTAATGATAACTTTACCTAATATAATTTATATTTAAGTTTGGACATTTTTAAGAAATTAGCAAAAAATAATTTTTGCAAAAACATAACCATAAAATCAGCCATTTTTATATTTAAGTTCTCTAAAAAAACGCCGACAACTGCATTTTAAAAACAAAATATACCTACGAATTCATGGCAACATAATATATTTAATACATAATATAATGGTATTTTACCGTTGAGTGGAGACTTTAAAGAATTTTTAATCAACGCTTTTAATAATACTAAACGCTGTTTGAATTTAGACGACTTATTTGTTTGACGATTTTTACTGAATTGAAATGTTTACACTTTTCACGTTAATCATTACTAAAATGTGTATTTATTGTATCTAATACATACAATTTATATTTACAGGGACTGTATGAAATTTATTTCTTCATTCGGATTAACGTTAAGTTTTTTTATATTATAAACTTCAAGCGAAAAAAGTTTAAAGTAAAAAATGTCAATGTCAAAGTTTTGACCTCAACTTTTTTAGAAAAAACAATTTAAAAAAATGTTAATTTTTTGTAATTGTAGTAATCCATATGTATGTCCATTTTTCATAATTTCCTAGAGAAACTTTTTGCCTGGTCGATTTGATTTGGAAAGACCCCATAGCAACTTTGGCTTATTAAAGGGCCTACTTTTTGTTTTTAAACTTTTCAGGACATTCCTTTAGGCTTGCTTCACGATATCTACGAATTGGTGAGCAAGTTTCCAGAGAGGCTGGATGAAATTGAAGATGTCGTTACCAAAAACAGACTTTTCATTCAAAGAACCAAAGGAGTGGGGGTTACGTCCGCTCACGAAGCCATGAATAGAGGATTCACGTAAATATTTTTGCCGTCCAAAGCTATAAACATAATATGTATATAGGTTTGGTCTAGGGTCCAAAGTAAAGGAACCGTTACTGCATTTTAATTGAAACTGAGAAAAAGGCGAAAAACCTTTCGAATCAGAAGTATGGCCCCGATTCTAATCGGTTACTAAGGAAAGTTAAAAAAAAATCTTTTGAAAAATGCAGTTTTGTCAATTTTCAAATTCTCAAGCAAAAAAAAATTCTGAATTTTGGATTTCAATGATCAAGAAACTTAGCTACGGTTTTCGTTGGCAACAGTGTGTTCGTTCGAGAATATTTTGTAAAGTCGGTTTCAGAGCTGCAACAAGTCAGTTTTAAAAAGACTTAAATCTTAAGTCTTAAGTCAATTCCAAAATCAAAATGATTTAAATCTTAAGTCAATTCCAAGATAAAGTTCAAATGATTTAAGTATTAAGTCTTTGAATTAAATCATTTTCTTTCAAGTCAAGTCATTTTCGCAAATTCTTAAATCAATATAAAGTGATTTAAGTCATCTTATGACTTAATTCCTTTAGTAAGTCGTTTTTATGACTTAAGTCTATATATTTTATTTAAATCGTTATCTAAGAGTTAAGTCAATAAAATGACTTGAATAAAAAATTGTGATTTAAATTAAAATAATTACAGTCAATACAACGATTTTTTAAATGTTAATAATAATTTTAGGGTATTAATGATACTGATATTATTAATCTATTGTAGATACAGATGATAATAAACTACTATGTTAAGAATTTAAAACGATTTATTTTCACTTACAACATTTTTTGAGAATATAGTAGACAATCAAAATAAAAACTTAAACCACCTTTTTTATTAGAGTATACATACAGGGAGGCTACTTTTTTATATACATAAATGGGTAACTTCTCAACGGTAATAGATTCAAACTCTGTTAAAATAGATAAAAGTTGAAGCATTTTTCTTAAAATCGCTGTATTTCAAAAACTGATAACTTGGTGTTTTGTTAACTTTTGTTAGGTGGTTCAACATCCATCTAGAAAAAAAATATTCCTCCCTTAAGGGAGTAATGATGGGAGGTTTCAAACTCTCGATTCACGACCGCTCAAGATTTACGACTGCTGACTACCGCTCACGACTACTCCCGATTCACGATTGTTCACGATTTACGACCACTCACGACTGTAATAATTTAAGACTTCTCACGTTCACGCACAATCACGTTTGAATAATTTTATTCACGCACAATCACGTTTTTTGTCGTAATTATTTACTTAAACAAACCGAAACACCCTGTATGATATAAACAAGTCTTTATAATATTTATTCGTCCTGTTAATCGTTTGTTTCCACTTTGCACTAATAATCACAAATTTGACCTAACTAGGCACGCATAAATTATGCGGCATAATACGACGAATGTTAGCAAACAAAATAACAAAATTATAAATCCCCACTTTTTTTTCATAAATTTTAGACAGGACACTTTTTAATGTAGATGTCAAACGGTTCCGAAAAGCTAACTTTACCGCGGCGGTTTTTTTATTCACTAGCGGTAGCAATTGTAAAAATTTACAAAAAATATATGAAAAATCTTAGACTTAAATCTTTTTAAATTATTTAAATAATTTGCCGACTTTTATAAAGACTTAATTCTTTTTTTGACTTAAATCGTTTCTATCTGACTTAAATCGTATGTACTGATTTAAGCCTTTTATTAATGACTTAAGTTTTTTCTATTTTGAAAAAATATTTAAGTCTCAAATCATTTTGAAAATTACTTAAATTTTAAGTCTTAAGTCAGTTTTAGAGAAATGACTTATTACCAAATGACTTCAGTCATTAAAACGATTTAAATCAAAAAAACGATTTAAGTTTTCTGAGAGCTTGCAGCTCTGGTCGGTTTCATATGGATGCAAAATATTTCGCAAATACGAATATTCGCATTTCGCAACTTCAATTTCATATAGATGCGAACTATTTTAGGGACATTGTTTTTATACGAGGCGATATTTTGGTGATTATAAAGGTAAAATAGAAAACATTAATTTACCTCAAAAACTCTTTATAAAGAAATAAAAAAACTTATTTAAACAGTTCGAATAAAACTCAACAAAACAAACACTACGATAGAAACGCAATAAACATAAATGGCGTAGGTATGATTAGGGTTTTAAAGGGCCGGGAAAAAATGTAAAAATTGGGGAAGAAACCTTCTTTTTTCGTTTTTTCCCAGGCCTTGGAAAAATTGTCTTTTTTGGAAAAATTGAATTTTTGTTAGACTATTCCACTCATTACTATATGGACCTATCAGATTTCAGAAAACGAGTGGTTTTTTCAGTTTTGCAGCGATAAAACTACTATTTAGGTGACTATTTCCCTCGTCTTAATTTCCACCAATCACAAACGCGCAATTTTGAATTGCAATTTGCAATTTATATTTTAATTGTCAACTGTTACTCATGAAATAGTCTTGTCAAATACCATTCGGGCATCTAATTTTTCCTGTGAAAAAAATCGAAAAAACACAATGCTAAGTAATATTTTTTTAACAAAATGCATTCGTGCAGGTGCAAAAATCCTCCTCTTCGACTAGGATTTTTGTTGCCCCCAGCACTCATGCTTCTTGTTAAAATATTACTTAGCAACGCGTTTTTTCGATTTTTTTGGAAAAAATAGATGCCCTTATGATATTACTTACGACTATTTTCCTCGTCTTAATTTCCACCAATCACAAACGCGCAATTTTGAATTACAAATGGTTTCTAGGTGAAAAAACTGTGTGACAGCACCTGTCAGCAGTTTTTTCGAGTTTACCCGCGGCAAAACTTGACAGCTGTTGTCACAAAAAATTGCAATTTATATTTTAATTGTTAACTGTTACTCATGAAATAGTCTTGTCAAATACCATTCGGGCATCTAATTTTTCCTGTGAAAAAAATCGAAAAAACACAATGCTAAGTAATATTTTTTTAACAAAATGCATTCGTGCAGGTGCAAAAATCCTCCTCTTCGACTAGGATTTTTGTTGCCACCAGCACTCATGCTTCTTGTTAAAATATTACTTAGCAACGCGTTTTTTCGATTTTTTTGGAAAAAATAGATGCCCTTATGATATTACTTACGACTATTTCCCTCGTCTTAATTTCCACCAATCACAAACGCGCAATTTTGAATTATAAATGGTTTCTAGGTGAAAATACTGTGTGACAGCACCTGTCAGCAGTTTATTCGAGTTTACCCGCGGCAAAACTTGACAGCTGTTGTCACAAAAAATTGCAATTTATATTTTAATTGTTAACTGTTACTCATGAAATAGTCTTGTCAAATACCATTCGGGCATCTAATTTTTCCTGTGAAAAAAATCGAAAAAACACAATGCTAAGTAATATTTTTTTAACAAAATGCATTCGTCTAGGTGCAAAAATCCTCCTCTTCGACTAGGATTTTTGTTGCCCCCAGCACTCATGCTTCTTGTTAAAATATTACTTATAAGCTATAGCAACGCGTTTTTTCGATTTTTTTGGAAAAAATAGATGCCCTTATGATATTACTTACGACTATTTCCCTCGTCTTAATTTCCACCAATCACAAACGCGCAATTTTGAATTACAAATGGTTTCTAGGTGGAAAAACTGTATGACAGCAGTTTTTTCGAGTTTACCCGCGGCAAAACTTGACAGCTGTTGTCACAAAAAATTGCAATTTATATTTTAATTGTTAACTGTTACTCATGAAATAGTCTTGTCAAATACCATTCGGGCATCTAATTTTTCCTGTGAAAAAAATCGAAAAAACACAATGCTAAGTAATATTTTTTAACAAAAAGCATTCGTGCAGGTGCAAAAATCCTCCTCTTCGACTCGGATTTTTGTTGCCACCAGCACTCATGCTTCTTGTTAAAATATTACTTGGACGGCTTTCTGCAGAATGGGACCAACCCACACCATGATGAAACTGAGAAAAAAACTATCAAAGATTTTAATAATTTTAAAATTACCTGCTAATTTTATGCCGATTTTGGACTTACGGAGGTTTAAGGGATATAATTTAATAATTTTATCAGGTTGATTTTGTGATGTTATGTGTAAGGGTGACGAAAAAAATGGGCTTTTGTTGGTTGGTTCCTTTCTGCAATTTATGAAAACTACTATCTGATGTACCTATGTATGTATTTAAAGAAAAGCGACAATTATTTATTTCCAAACAAAATACAACTGATATTACTATTATAATGGTAATATGAATTAATTTTGATTCTATTTGAAATTCGTCCACATCATCTTCCAACCCCATCTCATCTTGTAAGCTACCAAAAAAATGCATCAAGACTTTATATTTTGCAGAAGCAGGAAATCTTTAAAGACTTTGGTAGTGGGTCTACCAGCCTGCTTTTTTACAAAAAAGATCCAACCCACTTGCAGATATTCTACAGATTCTAATTCTGGATTAGTAATCCACACTCTTATTGAATGTTGGTTGGTTCAATGATTAATAGATTTCACTACACTTGCATTTTGGCTATGACCTATTTTGCAGATAAATTATACATACTTAATTAGTTCATAGGCTAAATATCTCGATTTTTTTGGTTTTGTGGGTTGGTTCCTTTCTGCAGAAAGGCGTCCACTTAGCAACGTGTTTTTTTGATTTTTTTCGAAAAAGTTACATGCCCTTATGATATTACTTACGACTATTTCCCTCGTCTTAATTTCCACCAATCACAAACGCGCAATTTTGAATTACAAATGGTTTCTAGGTGAAAAAACTGTGTGACAGCACCTGTCAGCAGTTTTTTCGAGTTTACCCGCGGCAAAACTTGACAGCTGTTGTCACCAAAATTGCAATTTATATTTTAATTGTTAACTGTTACTCATGAAATAGTCTTGTCAAATACCATTCGGGCATCTAATTTTTCCTGTGAAAAAAATCGAAAAAACACAATGCTAAGTAATATTTTTTAACAAAAAGCATTCGTGCAGGTGCAAAAATCCTCCTCTTCGACTCGGA